TCTGGATGACACAGATTCAGGGGGCCAACTGTACCAGAAACTGAAGACTATATTTAAGAGAAAAGTAATTCCAAGCCACCTCTGAGAATATCTTGCCTCAGAAAACTCTATGAAATTCCTGCTGTCACCATACATCAGTAGGGATCTGAAGACACACACACACACATAGGAATGATTATTAAACTGAAAATTTCAGAATTCCTTGCCATCAGCAGCTTTGGGCAACTGGGAGCCACAGTCCAACAAGACTGGAGGAATAAATGAATGCCTAGCTGTGTTTTAATCGGGCTACTCTTGGCTAAAGAGCAGCTGAGATAGCACACTAAATCGTAGGTGGTTTTAGAGTTGTGCACAGAATTTGTTTCTCCCGGTTCTTTCTGTACTTCCGGAGCACGTAACGGGAACCCTCCTCCTGGTACAAAAATCAGTTTGACATGAAAGCAAGCAGGAGCCAATGCCGGCTCCAGGTCTGCTTTTCGGCATCACAGTTTAAGGAACCTCCCTCCCAGTACAATAATCAACTCAACACAAAAGCAAGCGGGAGCCGATCCTAGCTCCAAGCCTGCTTCTCAGCATCACATTTTAATATTTTTTATTAATCATAATCACTAAAGCCTCATTCCCTGAAAATTATTCTCCTGCTCCAGGAGGTCATTGCCTTTCTTTATCTGGAAGTAGAAACCCTCCTTAAAATGCCTTAAAATAGAAAGAGTGAATGGCTGGCTGATGTGCTGTAGCCTGGGAGAGAAAGTGCACACACCTGCAGCCAAGCGCCTTCCAGAACTTGCCTCTTTGTGTGCAGGCCAGAAAGTGTGCACCTGCCAGTGCCTGCAATTGAGCACCTCCTCTAGAGTAGGAAGTTCGCATTGGCAGGTGAACGCACTTTCTGGGCCTCCATGCCACACACTCACTCTCCTTGGAAAGAGAGTGCATGTGTGGTGTGCAGGTCCAGAAAGTGTGTGCAGCTGCCAATGCCTGCAGCCAAGCACCTCCTCCAGAGTAGAAACAGCAGATAAGAAGAAGCCTCCTTTAAGCACACAGGAAGGGGAGCCTGGGAACCCTCCCCCCCCCCCCATAATGGGCCAATAGAAAACGAATTTTTGGCACCCCAGAGCAAAAACAGATATCTTCCCTGTATTGTCGAAGGCTTTCATGGCTGGAATCACTAGGTTCTTGTAGGTTTTTTCGGGCTATAGGGCCATATTCTAGAGGCATTTCTCCTGGCATTTCTCCTGACCAGGAGACAAAATGGGTCAAGGTTTACCCTGAATGTACAACCCTAGCTGGTACTAGAGGGGATGTGGTTTTAAAAAGGGAATTTTCAGAGATGTTCCCAATGTCTATATGTCCTGATTTACTGCCATATTGGCCAATTTCTGCAGTAGGCCTATGTTTACAGAAAATGCTGATTGCTTGAGAATAACAGTACATTGGGACAAAACCAGCTAGCTGTTGGCTAGTTAGAACCCCAAGTTTCCCAGTCGCTCTGAAGTCATGTTTGCAACAGACTAACAGATAAGATACAGTCATGGTCAGAGAACAATAGACTACAATAGACTACAGAAGGACTGGCAATTTGGACGACGAAACTGGATCGCGATTTTAGTCAAGAGATGAATTGGATTGTTTATTGATATATGTATTGTGGATCGTGTTTTTATGCTTTTAAACTGTATACTGTTGTTTGTTATAAGTTGTTGTAAACCGCGTTGAGTCGCCGGCTAGGCTGAGAAACGGCAGTATACAAGTATAGCAAATAAATAAATAAATAAATAATACAGTTGTGCCATAGTTGTGTCATTGTTAGGATCTCACGTGTGCTATTCTGTCAATCAAAATCATAAACAACTAATGAACAACTGTATAGCTAGCTTAGACCAATGAAATGATTTGTCTTTGGGAACCAATGAAAATGTATATTCCATTTACTACCAAAGTGATAAAAGCTTTGCAGCCCCATTGGGGGTTGCGACAAACCCTTTGATTGCATTCCTGTATGCTTGTTTGTCATTATTGCTATGCTAATTTTTTTTTCTTTTTTTTTCTTTTTTGCAGTTTAAAAGAGTCAACTTTCGTGGTGTCCATCCTTGCCCTCTCCATTGGAAAGGGGGCTCCTGCTGTTTTGGGAAATATTTTGGTTTCTTTGCCCCTGCAGTATCCTATGTCAACCAAACAGATTGAAAATCTCTCTCTCTCTCACACACACACACACACACACACACACAAACACAGACAGACACACAGACACAAACAATCAAAACACTGCTTTCTCAGTGCCTTCTTCTACCTTCCCCTATCTAGTTCACACGGAAATAAATGCCACTTTTCAAAACATTTTTTAAAATCTCACAATTTCGAATTAACCACATGTATGCAATAACTAGGATTTCTTTGTAACCCTTCTCTACCATACTTTGCTACCTGAGGTAGTTTCCTTAATATGAGTAATGGTGCAACACAACTGCAAATGTTTTGGATCAGACATAAATTCATGTAAAATTCAGTGCAGTGAGAATGGGACCCCACACACAGCAGTGCATCACTCTTGTGGTTTCCAAGAACAGCAGTCCCAAAATGTAGGGAGTAATGACAGTTACTGCATTTTGAATCTGGTGCTACATTTCATGCTTCTTGGCTCTTTAAAAAAGATTTGTTTGCTTATTTAAAGAGATATCAATCTCTTCTTTTTTAAAAAAAGGAGGCCAATGTTAGACACTGTTTGCTTGTGTTTGTTTATGAGCCCTAGCGTCTGTTCCACTGTGTGGTGCTGGTGCCAGGCCTGGTTCAATGGTATGTACTCCCTATTAAATATGTTAAGATTGTAACCTTGGCTGGACATATGCTTTTTGGAGGCAAAAAACATTTGAATAGATACTTAAGAGCTGCCAGATCAGACTTAAGAGCAGGCCTCTCTAGTCCAGCATTCTGATCTTATATCGGCCAACCAGATGCCTATAAAAAGCCCCAAAAATCTGGCTGGACATTGTGGGAACAAAATGCTGGACTAGTTAAATCTTTGACCTGATCCAGCATGGCTTTTTACATAAATGTACACAGCCAAGCAAGATATCAAATGCTGGAATATTCTTCACTGGCATTAAAAATACTTTTTATTTTCTCAAATTTAAAAAGTACTGTATTGTGAAATATATTTCAATACAAAGCTCATTAAGACCTATTACCCCAAAGGAGAGCAGCTATTATACAGAAACTGATTGAACTTGAAACTGCCAGGTTTTGCTATTGCATTTTTTTTACACTTTATTTATACTCTGCCCTTCTTCCCAAGGGGACTCAAAGCAGATAACAGAATATATACAGACACCGGCAAACATTCAATGCCTTGTTACAATGCAATACAATGAGACATAAATACACAGACAAAGGCAAAGGCTTCTCCTATCATTTCCATCACTGCAGACGGTGTTCATCTCCGGCTTTGGTGGAGGTGCTCTTCTCCATTTCCAAGTCCAGGAGCCTGCGTTGTCCATAGACATCTCTTGGTCGTGTGGTTGGCATGACTGCTTGGAGTGTCTTTTTGCTTTTTCCCGCCAAAGCGGTACCTGTTGATCTACTCACATTTACATCTATTTGAACTGCTAGGTTGGCAGGAGATAGGGCTAACAGCGGGAGCTTGCTCCATCCTGTGGATTTGAACTGTCGGCCTTTAGGTCAGCAGATCAGTAGCACAAGGGTTTAACCCAGGGGTCCTCAAATTATTCTTAGATTTTAATTATATTCTTTCAATTTTAACTATTTATAATTATTAATTGTTTTTTATTATGTATATATTGAGGCAGGGGTCCTCAAACTAAGGCCCGGGGGCCGGATGCAGCCCTCCAAGGTCATTTACTTGGCCCTCGCTCAGGGTCAACCTAAGTCTGAAATGACTTGGAAGCACACAACAACAACAACAACAGCAGCAGCAGCAATCTTATCTCATCAGCCAAAAGCAGGCCCACACTTCCCATTGAAATACTAATGTTTATATTTATTAAAATAGTTCTTCATTTTAATTATTGTATTTTTTTAGTGTTTTTGCACTACAAATAAGATATGTGCAGTGTGCGTAGGAATTCATTCATTTTTTTCAAATTATAATCTGGCCCTCCAACAGTTTGAGGGACTGTGACCTGGCCCTCTGTTTAAAAAGTTTGTGGACCCTGTAGTATAGTGTGCCTTTAAGACACAGCCTTGGGTGGCCACACCGGCAATGCATTGTACTACTGGATGTTTTGATAAAAGCTCTCTCTCTGTAGTAAATGTAGTTGTTACCCCTACTCGTGTTGAATAAACATCGTTACCTCGGGAACTCCGCTGGCTGGTGAGTCTGTCACCCGAAGAATATTACAGACCCCTGTATTGAGGCATCGAATTGCTGCCAGTTGGAAGCCGCCCTGAGCCCCCCCTCCCCCGGGGGGGGTGGGGGGGTTTGAGAAGGGCGGGATACAAATGTTCAAAATAAATAAATAATGGCTGTTAGGAATGATGGGAGTTGAAATCCAAAACACCTGGAGGGCTGAAGTTTGCCCATGTCTGTTCTACACTGTAGAACTAATGCAGTTTGACACCCCTTCAATTGCCATGGCTCAATGCTATGGAATGATGGGAGTTGTGATTTCACCAGCCTTTTCTAACAACAGCTGAGACCTCATCAAACTACAAATCCCAGCATTCCATAGTACTGAATCTTGGCCATTCAAGGGGTGTCAAACTGCATTCATTCTACAGTGCAGATGCACCCCAAGGTTTTAACAGTCTTTCATTCATAGGAGCTAAAGTGGTATCAAACAGCATTCATCCTACAGAGATGCAGCCTTGGCCTACTACACGGAATTAAAGATGATAACACTATGTTCCTGCCAACTGCATCTCTACTCACATAGCAGGGACACGGTCCTCTTCTGCGCCTGCGCACACCGCGACTCAATTGGAAGAGGAGGCGGGGGAGTTAATACTTCCTTCGGCGCGCCTGCGCAGTGTGTTCTGCCCGCCTCTTACACTTTGGCCACAGGAAGAAAGGAGAGAGCATGGCAGTGCTGCAGAGGAGCGTAGTGGCTGCTGTCCCCGCGGGGAGACACACGGCTTCGGTCATCTTCCTCCATGGTTCAGGTTGTGGCTGCTTCTCAAAAGAAGCAACTAGTTGCCAGAGAAAGGGCTTCCCTATTTTGGGGGGCAGGTGGGGGCTCAGGACCTCTACCTCTCCTTAGAGCAGTGATTCCCAGGCTCTGGTTATTTTGGGACTTCAACTCCCAGAAGCCTCAGCTGCCTTGGCCAATAGCCAGGGATTCTGGGAAGTGAAGTCCAAAACACCTAGCAAGCCAGAGCTTAGGAAACACTGCCTTAAAGGAGCCAGAGCTTAGGAAACACTACCTTAAAGGAGCCAGAGCTTAGGAAATACTACCTTAAAGGATGCAGCTACACTATAGAATTAATGCAGGTTAACTTTAACTTCCATGGGAGATCTAGTTTTACAAGGTCTCTAGCCTTCTCTGTCAAAGAGTGCTGGTGCTTCCCCAAACTGCAAATCCCAGGATTCCACAGCATTCAGCCATGACAAAATGCATTAACCCCACAGTATAGATTTACTGTGACTAGCTTATGTATTCCAGAGCCTAGAGGGCAATTCCCTGAACATACTGGCTGGGGATTCTGGGTGTTGTCATCCAAAATGCAAGGATTCCACTGACCTTTTTATTAGGCACACAAAGTATTAGCCAGAGTATCAAAGGTTTTCATGGCCAGAATTACTGGGTTGCTGTGAGTTTTTCGGGCTGTATGGCCATGTTCCAGAAGCATTCTCTCCTGACGTTTTGCCCACATCTATGGCAGGCATACTTAGAGGTTGTGAAGTTTGTTGGAAACTAGGCAAGCGAGGTTTATATATCTGTGGAATGTCCAGGGTGGGAGAAAGACCTCTAGTCTTCTTGAGGCAAGTGTGAATGTTGCAATTAGCCACCTTGATTAGCATTTAATGGCCTTGCAGTTTCAAAGCCTGACTGGTTGCTTCCAGAGTTTTTCAGAATTTCAATTTTAAGGTGCCCTATGCCCTCTGACAGGCTGACAAACTGATAGGCAGGAGTCCTGGAGTGTTCCTCATGGCATGGAGCTCTAACCATGCTTAAGGTTCCATCTATAGGTTCAGACCTTGGCAATTTATTTATTTATTTATTTATTTACTCCATTTGTATACCGCATTTATCAGCCTGGAGCGGCGACTCAATGCGGTTTACAGTAAAAATAAACAGTGAACAATAAATAAGACGCACATCGACAAACAATACACATAATCATCAACGCCTACTTAGAATCAGATCCCGTTCTCATAGTCCTTAATTCAATCCTTGTTCAATGCCGTCATTATTGGGTGGTTGTTACTGCATAGCTAACCGAATGCCTGCTCATAGAGCCACGTCTTAACCCTCCTTCGAAACACCAGCAACGAAGGGGCCTGCCTGATGTCCACTGGTAACGCATTCCATAGCCGAGGGGCCACCACCGAGAAGGCCCTGTCTCTCGTGCCCGCCAGCCGCACTTGTGATACTTATGTTCATATAAAAAACAATGGGTACTTCATTTGGAAGACAGACCGCAATATGTAAATAATAGAAGAGGGAGTTCTACACAGATACTAATACAATTCGAAGCTGGCTCAAAGGAAAGGTGTCGATAAAACTCAACCAAAAAAATGCACACTGTAGTGCAGATCAATCCAGAAACTTTAAAACACACCAGAAAGTGTGGAACAAGCCAGGTAATGCTCTAAAGCAAATGAGAGTATATCCCAGCCATGGGCAAACTTTGCCCCTCCAGATGTTTTGGACTTCAACTCCCACAATTCATGGGAGTTAAAGTCAAAAACACCTGGAGGGCCAAGGTTTGCCCATGCCTAGTATAGCCCATGTAGGGCTCAAAACTGGGATGATCCTGAACGGATATGGAGATACGCAACCATAGATTCTGCAATTCCTGGGTTCTGTTCCAGTCCACAATTGGTGGATAGTGTGTCCACCATCCCAGCCTCAAACTGGTTCTTGGGGTATTTTGTAGGCACTGTATAACAAAACCAGTTTGCTTTAATCAGCTTCCAAACCAAGTTATAGTGTCTATGTGGAGCTGACCAAGAATGTTTCTGGGAGGGAGGAGTTTGCACTGTGGAATGGTTTAAATGTTTTCCGATCTGAAGTTGTCCAGTGCAACACTTTGGATGTTTATTTGGGATGAGTAGGTTTCATGGGACATCTTCATTCACATGTGCAGCCTTAGGAAAGCTTTTGAGTCTGTCAGTAGTGGTTGTGTAAATACGAGTGCATTTACATCATTGCAAATGTGAGTAGATCAATAGGTACCGCTTTGTCAGGAAGGTAGCAGTGCTCTATGAAGTCATGCTGGCCACATGACCTAGGAGGTGTCTACAGACAATGCAATCTCCTCAGCTTGGAAATGGAGATGAGCATCACCCTCCAGAGTCGGACACAACTGGACTTAATGTCAGGGGGAAACCTTTACCTTTCATCATTGCTACAGTTATTTTGCATTTGGAAGTGTACACGTTACCTATTATATTCAGTCTGTTCTCTCTCTAGTGCCTCAGGTATTATGTAGCATTTCATTTTTATACTTTTTATTTGAAATATGGTGTTTTCTCATATTTTTGTTCAGTTCTCTTGGAAGTTAGGCCTAGTGAAGGGTTCGGAATGGTTTGCTTAATGTAGACTCGTTTCTTGTTCTGCCTTACTCTCTTGAACCTTGCTGATGACAGCAGTGAGGGTTGGCAGTACCAAAAAAAGCAATCCCCAGCAATTCCCTTATAGTTGTTCAGTTTCAAAGAACGTGTTCACTGCCACAGAACACTTTTAATATTTGTGCATTTTCATTACCTTGTTTACCTGACCACAGGCATGCTGAGATTGTTATCCCTGGGCAGGTGCTATTCTCGTGCAGCTATTTAATTTGTGGCGTTGGAGTAGGTGAGCTAGATCAAAGCCATTTTTATGTGGCTTTAAATTGCCTTTTTAAAAAAGTGTGAAACTTATTGGGGTTATTGCACTGTAAAGCTGTTTTTACTGCCTACATGTAAACTTGTGTTTATAAGGGATCATTTTTCATGGAAAGTAGAATAGCTGGAGTTGCCAGTTCCTGATCCAGAGACAACACCTGTTGCTTAAGAGCTCCAAGCCAGTGGGATTTATTCGCAGAGTACAGAATGGCAGCTTGTTGTCTTGCCTTTACTTTAATACAGCTCTGCTGAATTAAACTCTCTGCTGAATTAAACTCTCTGAATTAAACTATGTGTGTGTGTGTGTGTGTGTGTGTGTGTGTATAATGCTGATGGAGTCTTTTTGTACTACTTAGGTGATACTGGCCCAGGAGTAAGAGACTGGATAAAGCAAGTTTTGAAGCAGGATTTGTCATTTCAGCATATAAAAGTTATTTATCCAACAGCTCCTGTCAGGTAATCATCTATTCATTTTCACCGGAGTCTGGAATTACTGTTATTCATATATTTGTTATTGTGACTATAGTCCTACTTCCCCTACCTGCAGAGGGATCCAGTCTCTTAGTGTGATTATAATTGCACCAAGACTTTAAGGTATAAATAAGTTTGTTCGTGTGACAGGCTTCATTTACACACATGCAAACAATCTGATTATCTTAATGTCAACCCTTTTGCAGATTTAACTTCTAAATTGTCAGCCTCATTCCTCTGAGCAACAGCATACAGGCATACTACTGTGCCAAAATGGTGACAGATTAAAGATTTTATTTATTTTGGACATTAATATCATGTTCTTGGACAAGTTCCTTAGGGTGGCAAATTGCAAACACAAGGCTATAACCACCTAATAGCAAGTGAACGTTCTGGAAAGCAAAATGTTTGCATTATTTTAATCGTATTCTGTACAAAATACTCTTTAAGTGATTTCGTTTGCTCATTTGTGTTACCCAATACAGAGGTTATTGCAATCAGATTTAATGTGGTTGCATTTGTGAGTAAGTGCTCAGTAGTTTTCTAAATATAGTAGCTTTGTGTAATCTCTGCTCCTCAGACTTTCGGAACTACAATTCTCACAACATTTGAAGGGTTATGTGATTTTCACTTCTGTTTTAAAGGAATGTGTGAACACAATACTCTAAAAGGAAGAATATATTACTGAAGAAAAACATAATTATAACTATTATCAAAAATAGTATGCTAAAGGCAGTGTTTATACCTGTTGTATGGCACTTCTAAATTCTGAAATTAGTTCATGGAATCATAGTAGAAAGGTGCCACAAGGATCATGCAGTTTAACCCCCCCCCCCCCCCGCGCTATGCAGGAATACACAATCAAAACACTTCCAACAGATAGCCATCCATCCTCTGTTTTAAAACCTCCTTAGAAGGAGACTTCACCATGCTCCAAGACAGCTCTTACAGTCAGGAAGTTCTTTCTAATGTTTTAAGTGGATTCCCTTTCTCTGTAGTTTGAATCCATTGCTCCATGTCCTAGTCTCTCGAGTACAAAAAACAGACTTACTCCTTCTCCAGTATGACATTCTTTCAAATATTTAGACCTGGCTACCATGTCACCTCATAATCTTCTCTTCTCCTGACTAAACATCTGCAACTTCCTAAGCTGCTCCTCATAGAGCTTGGTTTTAAGAAATTTTGCCATTTTGGTCACCCTCTGGACAAATTCCATCCTGTCAATGTCCTTGAACTGTGGTGTCCAAAATCAAATCATTGGTCCCAGAAGGCCTCCTGGGATCCAGTGCTTATTGGTTATATGTGTAGGAGTCCCAATTTAGAATAATTGATTTTTTCCAAGGTAGACCTGTAATTGTTGTCTGGGACATTCAAAATGTTTTTGTTTACTCATGCAAAGTTTGCCTGACCTGCTTGTTTGCTTGTTTGTTTTCATTTCACATAAGAATATTGTTAGCTTTGGATAAAACATTTGCTCTATAGTTCCTCATTTGTTCCCAGATGTTACGTTATACAAGCAGTACTCCGAAACATTGCTTGTTTGACATAATACTTCATTAACTGAGGTTGTACCTGTAATAATTTTCCAAAGATGAGATGACCTTGTGGTCAGGAATTGAGTAGAGATCATGATTTGCAAGTCATTTTGTTGCTCCACAAGGGGGAATTGACAACTACATCAATTTTCCATAGTCAAATATAACTTAATCTTTCCATTTCCTCCTCCCTCAGGGAATTATTCTGGTTAAATGTCTTGTAACTTAAGTTGGGACTTTAAAAATAGCATCTACTGCCACGTCTGTCCCAGTGGTTTTTGCAGTAAATGGTGTTATTTCTCCCTCTTTTGAGTAAGCATAGATGCAACATGGAATACTGTTTCAGCCGCTAATGGTGTCAGTTAAACGTTTGTTTTCTGTTGACTCTAAACTGGAATAGAATACAGCCCCTCTTTGTTTTACAAATAGAAAGTGATAGTTTAAACTGGCATTGTAACAGCTAGCATGGTCTGCTTAAAATGATGTAGTCTCAACGTTTTGAAATGACTATACTATACCTTGTTATGCTTCCCTTCAAAAAATCTAGCTCAAATAACCTTGCTATACATAGTATTTTCTTTTCACAGTTCTTTTCTTTTATAAATCTAAAGTTAATCTATGAATAAATGGACCCCATGAGTGTTTTTCAACAACCAAACAGAGTTTAGACTCCTTTTATTAATTTTGTTGAGCATTGGAAAATGGATTTGTAGAGTAATTACATCCTTTTCTTTGCCTTTGGAACACATTTTGCAGACCTTTCCACTTTCTGTGTTTCTTATATCAGGACACTTTCTACACACTACGGAGTCAGCAAAGTATTCTTTTAAATAGATAGGCAGCTATTTGAATCACAAGAGCGTTGTTGGGCAACTTACTGGGGAGAGAAGCCACCCGGATTCGTAAGCATTTTTTTTTCAGTTCTTTTGATTGAATATTCCTGTTTTTGCTCACCATTCTTATTGTCAACACAGTATTGCATGAATCAGGATTTATATGGATGGATAGAAGGAAGTCAAGGATTTTCTTTGTTTTGACAAAGATCTTAAGTTTTGACTGTGATTAGTAGTAAAAAAAGATAAAACAGAATATCTTTCTGTTGCTTTTCTCCTATAAAATTGTATATGGTGATTAATTTTGTGGAGTTAAGTAACTTGTTTCCATCAGTTATATTTTTATTTATTGTGTCAGAAGTGAATCGAGAGTATAGTTATAATGTCTTTAACAGCACAAACAAAGTTAAAAACTTGGCATTATGCTAAAAGTCCTTTGACTAGAAGCTGGCCACTTGGAGAGCCTCTGATGTCACAAGTAACTTGTCTCCACCAGTTATTTTTTATTTATTGTGTCAGAAGTGAATTGAGAATATAGGTATAATGTGTTTAACAACACAAAGTTAAAAACTTGGCATTATGCAAAAAGTCCTTTGACCAGAAGCTGGTCACTTGGAGTGCCTCTGGTATCGCTGTGAGAAGGTCCTCCTTTGTGCATGTGGCAGGGCTCAGGTTGCATTGCAGTAAGTGGTCTGTGGTTTGCTCTTCTCTGCACTTGCATGTCATGGATTCCACTTTGTAGCCCCATTTCTTAAGGTTAGATCTGCATCTTATGGTCCCAAACTGCAGCCTGTTCAGCACCTTCCAGGTTGCCCAGTCTTCTGCATGCCCAGGAGGAAATCTCTCATCTGGTATCAGTCACTAATTGAGGTTCTGTGTTTTCTCCTTCCACTTTTAGACTCTTACTTGCTGAGATGTTCCTGTGAGTGTTTCTGTAGATCTTAGGAAGCTATTTCTTGATTTAATGTATTTATTTATTTATTTATTTATTTATTTATTTATTTATTTGTATATTGTCTTTCTCAGCCCATCGGCGACTCAAGGCAGTTTACAACAAATCAGTACACATAATATCATAATACAAGTTAAAACATTAAAACAATATAAAACACAGAAGCAATAAAAACCAACATCATTAGCGTCTCCTTGTTAAAAAACATTGTCCAATTACATCATCTAGTCCAGGGGTTCTCAAACTAAGGCCCGGGGGCCAAATACGGCCCTCCAAGGTCATTTATCCGGCCCTTGCTCAGGGTCAACCTAAGTCTGAAATGACTTGAAAGCACACAACAACAACAACAACAATCCTATGTCATCAGTCAAAAGCAGGCCCACACTTTGAAATACTAATAAGCTTATATTTATTGAAATTGTTCTTCATTTTAATTATTGTATTGTTTTAAACTATTTTTTTGCACTACAAATAAGATATGTGCAATGTGCTTAGGAATTCATTCATGTTTTTTTTAAAAAATTATAATCTGGTTCTCCAACAGTTTGAGGGACTGTGACCTGACCCTCGATTTAAAAAGTTTGTGGACCCCTGATCTAGTCATTCAGTTTGGCTTGCTGGCTGATATCCAAACAGAGGATGGGGTGGAGATGTCACTGCCTTGGTCCTTTCATTACAGGCTGCTACTTTAGGATATTCGTCAGGTGGTGCAATGCAAGCTAAACAGTATAATTTCTCCTGGTGTATTCCACACTGGGCATGCGTTTTCAGCAGCAGAGTAGCAAAGCTCAAGGGCAGATGTTTTCACTTTATCTGGTTGTGATCCCCAGTGAAGCATGCAACCAACCCACCAGAGATGATTCTGGTTTTGCTCTCTGACTGATAAACCATAGCTTGGTGTTCAGTATCTTGCATAACATGTTCTTGAATATTGGTTTGGATCTGATATTGTTTTAGTGGTACAAGTAAAACTTAACACTTTGTTTCAAAGCAGGGATTAGGTAAGGTTTTGTAGGAGTATCTGAATTTCACATATTTGAGAAGAGAAGGAAGAGTTGGGTGAGGGCAAATATTAGAAACATTCCTTTGCTGCAGTGCAGCTCCTCGAATCCCCCAGCCAGCATGGCCAACATTGGGAGCAGGATTTGGTAATTTGCCTTGATAAGAAAAGCCAGACAAGGGTTTGGATTACAACTTATTTGAGATGGGATTCCACTGGTGCTGGAAAAAAACAAGTTTGCAATTTAGGAGTGGTCTTACACCCAGCAATGCTCCAAGGAAGCCATGTGGCTGCTCTGGCTATGAATCCCTTCATTCAACTTTGCCTGAAGTACCAACTGTTCCCCTTCCTAGGGAAAGTGGATTCAGCAACAGTAATCATGTTTTAATTGCACTATAGTAATATAATGTCTGCAGGGCTGCTCTTCAAAAGTTGTATAACATAGTAGTTATCTAATTGTGCTTTTAAGACACTTGATACTACACTTCCAGTTATTTCCATGCTCAGTTGGAGGTGTTGGTGCTACAAAGTCCTAGATAGTTTAGGGCTATGATAGCTGAAAAACTACCTCCTCTGGTGTGAGTCTACTATAATTAGTTTAAAACCTTCTTTGGAAGCTTTTAAACAGAGGCTGGATGGCCATCTGTCAGGGGTGATTTGAATGC